TAAACATCTCTAAATTTTCTTGTTTAGAAAAAAATTCCGCATTTTCCGTTTTCCTCATATCTAGATCCCTTACTGCAGCCATTGCACCATTACATCTTTGTAGTAAGAGCCCACATAACTCTTTATTATGTTTGGCTTTTTCATATAAATTGATAATCTCTTCTCCTAGTTTAATAAATGTTGTGACGAAGGGCATAAATGTTTCGAAATTTTGAGCTACACTACATGCTCCTTTTATTGTTGCCATCGTTCCTGAAACAAAGATTTCTGATGCAGCCTCATTTGTTTCCTCGATAGTCATTCTATTCAATGCACCTGATACTCCATTATCGTCCTGAGATATCATGTAGTTGGCTGGAAAAAATGGATTCATATTATCTGGTTGATTATTATACGGCAAATGTTGATAATATTGCAAACTGTTATAATATTGCGGATTCCAAGTATTATATTGATCATTGTAATTGATAACGGGATTTGACGGTGAAGGGCAAGAAGAATGATATGGAGATAGAGACGGGGTCGAGTTTGCATCATCCATAATTAAATCATCTGTTCTATGAATATTGATACGAGGTACCTTTGGTTCTCTTTCCGCATTCGTTGATTGATCATCATAAATAGATTGACGTTTTCTAATATTTTTTAAAATATTGAAGCTCATAATTATAATAATTACAAATATTTAATTTGAAGTGAAAAAAAAAAAAAAAAAAAGAGTGAGACAACCGGGGCGGAGCTTGCTTTCTTTTTATAAAGTTAAAAAAATGCATTCATCCAAAAACGGATAAGCTTATTTTCAAATTATTTCCATTTTACTTTGTTATAAAATTTTTTTTCAAGAACGTCTAGAAGTCTATAATGGTTTCTAGATTTTGAAACAGAATAAAGTTTCGGAATAACCAAAAACACTACCGGTTCGTTATATAGGTCTTGTACAACAACCAATTTATGTAACGGGTAATTTAAAAATCGACATTATTTTATTTCCTTAAATGGAAATTGCCCAAAAAGTACATTCGTTTTAATCTAGAAAGAATGATTTAACGTTCCATGTAGAATTTTTTTTTTTTAGACGTTTTAAAGATTTTAAAATAGTACAAGAAACTTATTAATAAATATAACCAGATCAAAAAAAAATATATATATATATATTTATATTATCAAAGAAAGTTGATTCGATTTTCGTCAAAACTAAAAACGCCAATTCGCGAGGTCTTGACAGTTTTCTTTGACATCGAATTTCATGTGAAATGATACAAAATATCAATGGTTGCTAATTTACGTCCACAACTTCTTTCAAATGGGATTAGTACATATTGGCATGATTTGCTAATTAAAGATATCCAATCTGTAAAGTCTTATTTTTTAACTAGTTGTGGCAATATAAAATGTCTCATTCATAAAATTTATATTTATTTCGTTTGTTAAAATAAGTTCCGTACTCAATTTTGGAAAAGCTAAAAGCTAACTAATAAAAATGGCTAATTATTTACAAAAAAAAAATTACTATTAAAAGGGAATATTACATTTATTACACATTTCTTTAGCCTTAGGATGATTCTCGAGAGCAGCATCTTTTAAATATTTCGCGCCTTGTTCCCTATCTTGTTCAATACCATTACCACCTTTCCAATAAGCTTTTCCAATAATATACATAGCTGTAGTATTTCCCTGATGGGCCGAATCTTTTAAATATTTAAAAGCTTCTACAAAATTTTCATCAACACCTTCACCATTCAGTAAACATAATCCATATCTCAATTGAGCAGAAGGATTTCCTTTATCAGCCGTTTCTTTAAATATTTCTATAGACATTCTAATCCTTTCTTTTTTATCAATTTGTTTCAATTCAGGAATAATTTCCCCATGATGATAATAATAATATCCTAGCCAATATTTCGCTTCAATATTGGTTGATGAATGATACTTAAAACTTTGCCATGCCAATTGCTTATTCCCATTTTTTGATTTATGAGTACGAATCGCGTCGTTAATCGGAAGAATTGTAATGGTGACAAATGATGGAGGCAATGGATTCGGATAATCCATTGGTAAATTTTCTTCAGATTCCCCAGCATAGTCTTGGGTCGTGATAGAGTGGTTTTTTTTACTCAATTTGTGAAGTTTTCGACAAATTTCGGATATTTTAGGACGACATGCCGGTTCGTATATCATGGCTAATTGAAATTTAAGATGGGCAATGAAAAACAAATACTGTATATCTAATAAAAAAAATTAAAATAAATTACATCAACTCACCATCTTTAACTAATTCTTTCCATTTACGTGGCACTTCGTTTGAAAATTGTAGACAGTATCTGTCATTAACACGTTCTCTAATACCGAGAAGAACGTCCGATTTATTAAGATCAGAATGAGGTTTTTTTAATTCGGCAATTTCCCACAATAATGCCCCAACACTGTATAATAAATAAAAATTTAATTTTTTTTTTTTTTTTCAAATATAAGAGAAAATAATTTTTTTTTTTACCTGTAGATTTCGCATTTAGAATCATAAGGAGGAACTAAAGGAGAGGTCGTTTTTTTTCTATCATTTTCTATTATTGATAGTTTTTCCGGGGCCATATATCTCACATTTTCGATGTTTGGAGAAATATTCCTTGTAAGTTCTGAAAATTTCCTGCTTAAACCAAAATTTGCTATTTTTGCATTATGATCATTGTTTACTAAAATATTCGCCGACTGAATATCTCGATGAAGGATCTAAATAATTTTTTTAAATATAAATATGAAAATGCTAAAACAATCTTATTTTGAAGAATTTAAATTTTAATTTACCTCACAATCGTTAAGATACGATATACCGCAGCAAATATCCAAAGCGAATTTAATTTTGGTTTCCCAAGTCATCATATCTCTAAAACGAGTATAATATTCGTGTAGATTTCCATGCTCCATCCATTCAGTAATCAAATAATATTTGGAATTTTCTTGAGCAACACCAAAAAATCTTATAATATGTTTAGAATTTTTTAATTTTTTAAGGATGTTAACTTGTCTCCTGATTTCAATTTGAGATTGATCCGATGCGGTATTAGAAAATTCTTTAAAAGAATAATCAATTCCATCGTTAATACGTTTTTCAATCTTTTTGGTAGGATAGATGCCGGTTTGTTTATATTGATAACCAACGAGTAATGGTTCATTTTCATCCAAGATTTTAACTTCAGATGAATCTAAAATTTTGTTTTTCCTAGTTTGTCTTTTAAATTCTTGGGCACTCCCGGCTACTGAATTCACATCATTGAAAAAATTTTGTTGAGATTGTCTGTCATTAGGGACGTCATAAAATGATAATTTCTCCATGATCTGTTTCATATCATTTTTCATAGTCGCCAAGTTATTATTGGATTGTATGGTGAAGGTAAAATTCAAACTATTCATGAATCCATCAAATTCTGCTATAAGGTTTTGAAAAGTTTCTCCGATATTATTGGTAAAGAAGAATTTTTTAAATTTACTTAATTGACTAACATCCCCTATAAAGTTTCGAATTTTTTTTATGCAAAATATAAACTCTTTAAATAAGTCTAAATTTTCCGTCTTAGAAAAAAAACATTTGTTTTCTGTTTTTCTTATATATAAATCTTTAACAGTGGCCATTGCGCAATTACATCTTTGTAAAAGGGAACTACATAATTCTTTATGATGTTCAGCCTTTTCATATAATATTATTATTTCCTTTCCTAAATTAAAGAATATTTTGATATATGGTGAAAATGCTTCGAAATTTTGAGCTATACAACACGCTCCTTTTGCTGATGTAAGTGCTATTGAACCGTATCCTTGTTCCAGTTCTGACGCGCTTTCACAATCATCCATGTCCATGATATTATCTAAACTCATTTTATTTAATTCATTTGATACTTCAATGTCATCCTGCTGATAACTTGGAGAATTCATTTCTCGTGAATTGAAGTAGGAGTTTGATGGTGATAGCGATGGTGATGGTGAAAAATTAGACGGGAGACTTGTATCAATATTCATGCCTGAATCATCATCACAATTGACAATTTCGATACGAGGATTCTTCGATCCTCTTTCCGTTAATTGATCCTCCTCATCATTCGCTTGACGCTTTTTAAACATTTTTTTCATGATTGGTTAACGAATTATGAAAATGTTCTTTGAAAAAAAAAAAAGTTCAATAACATGAAAAGTTGGTTTTTTAAGTAAAAAAAATAAAATAAAATAAAAATATTTTTTTTCGGAGTTTTGACCGAAAAACCTCCAAAGCAATTTAAGTAACATTATCATTTTATATTTGGAAATTTTCTGGAAGATGAAGAGAAGTTTCTAAAGAAATCGGATGTGCGGATGATTCACTCCGAGAATCTGTATTGGAAATTTTTTCATTGTGAATTTTTTTTTTTAAAGAAAAAAAAAATATGTTGACCCTTGCTTATTTATTTGGTTTTTTTTTTTTACACAAGACGCACATGAAATTTCTATTTATATTGTTATGCTGCTTTGTTTTCAACGCCGTCTTGGCAAAACTTTCGATGTTCTGTGATACATTCTAAATGGATTAATTAAATTAAAAAAGAACCTTCAAACCGTTGTCATGTGATTATATAATTTTTTTATAACAAATTTTTTTTTTCTGACATATGGTACGCCAAATTTGGCAATAAAGAAATCAATTGCATATTTGAATGTAAAAAAAACCGCGTTTGATGTCAAACATTTGTGGAACTTTCCGAATCGTTCTGTACATTTTTGAAGAAGCATTACATCCGATACATAAAAACATGCCACGTCGAATTGAAGCATTAAATATAAATTGACCGGATCTGTAAAGGTTCTTTATATCATGATGACGAAGGTCAATTGTTACGTGACCAATTTTACGACTATGTTATTGTCGATGACACCAAGATATATTACTTACGGAAATGCAAAAGATTCGTGAAAATTTTAAAAGAAACAATGTTATTTCCAGACACTGGAATGGCTATCCACAGATTCAACTTTCATCATGCACGTCTTTTTTTTTTATTTTTTTGTTAGATACATTTATATAAGGTTATTTCAGAAGGGTACTGAAACCCATTTTTAGCATTTTCTTTTGATATAGTGACTAACATAATAAAATTTAAAATAGAGCTTGGCCTGCCGAAATAAATTTCGGCCGGAATTAATATTCTTTTAAAAATTTATGATCTTAAAAAGGCAAATATGTCACGTTTAAATCATATGATTTTCAAGTTTTATTAATTTAACCATTGAAATATGATAAGTTTGGGCTGTATTTGCTTGTCGTGAATGAACCTAACAAATATTTATATGTTGAAACTCAAATTTTTGATATAAAAACTCAATCCCATAATTCTTTAATTCAATGTACTTATTCTTTTATTTTTAAAAGATTAAAGTCAAATTTCATTATCACTTTCCTCATTAGCTTCCTCACTTCCATCTGAATACAATACCTTTAAAGCCTTAACGAATTTTGGAAGTTTGTAAAACTCTCCAATATTCACCTCCATTAAATCAAAACTAATTCCTACAATACCGTGATTATCCGTAAATACAGGAACTTTGGGATACCTTTGACTAAAATGAGTTAATAGCAAAGCATGCGCATTCATCCTACCAAATTTGTTTGAACAGATAATTTTTTTTTTTGTTTTTAGATAACGTATTTTAAATTTAAAAAAATAACAAATTCATAATAATCAAATTTACCTTTTTCCTATCGAAACAGCTTCCTCAGTTGTGCTATGCAGCTTATTTAATGCTTCCTCAATCAAATCATTCTCAAAGGTTGCCTCATGAATCAAAAGTGTAGCATCCTTACCAACGCGCACGAGATCATCGCAAGGACGCGTATCACCAGAATAACTTTATATCGAGGATATTCATAAATTATTACTTGGTAAATGGTTTAAAACATATTACTATTCAGCAACTTACACGATTTTCCAGCCATCACGATGTTCGAGACTTATTCCAAAAGAATTGGGACAATGAATTGCCGCAACTGTTTCAACTTTACTAATTCCCATATTATTCTTTAAGTATTGTAGGCTGCAATTAAAAACTTTAAGAGTTAGTTTAAAAAATAATCCACGTAAAGAATATTTATAAACTTACCTATCTAAGCCAAAGTTTGTTCCTTTTTGTTTCGAAAATAAAAGATCTTTGTTATTTACGAATTTAATTTTATTGATTCCAAAATTTTCAACATCACTATATTCCTGAAGCCATTTCCATAATCTGGTAGGTCCAAGTACAGAAATTGCTGCATTTTTTTCGCCCAGATGCAACTATTATCTTGCAAAAGTTAGAACCATCAAAAATTAGGAAACGTAAATTTTTTTTTTTTTTAAAAAAAAAAAAAAAAAAAAAATTACTAAATAATTATGTACCTGATTCCATTTACTCAAGACTCTAATTATTCCAAGGTGGTGATCTGCATGCATATGCGATATAAAAATGCATTTCAAATTACTTATACAATTCTCCAAACTTATCTGGCCATCGCCATGAGGATGACCATATGGACCGAAATGCCGCAACATTGATCCAAATGTTCCCTCCCCAACGTCGAGAAGGATAAATCCATTATTCGGAATGGTAATCAAACTTGCACTTACTAAACATATAATTTCGTGAGTAAAACATCTTGTAGACTATTCAAGAAAATAAAAGAATTTACCATTTCGATATTTTGAGGGCAAAGTAGATCCTGTTCCAAGAGTTGTTACCGAAATATCTCTTCCAGGAATATCTTTTGCTTCTGATTGTGAATTTATAATATCACGCTTAACTTCTTTCACGACATTTAAATAATCATTTAATCCATTCAAAGATTTTACAGCTTCTGAATCAGGATTGTTGTGATCAAATGGAGGATCTATCTGTGAAGTGTCGATCTTAAAACTCGGCTCTGTTTGGTACATCATCATTGGAACAGCAAATGATGTCTTTTTTGGAATATTTCTCACTAAAATTTCAGATATAATTATTAAAAAAAGTCAAAAATTAAATCTTAATTTCAAGAAATTTCTAAACAAAAAGAGAATACAAACATGATTTAATATCTTTGGCAGGTATATTTGAATAATATGGGACACGAAAGATTTTTTCATCAATTTTAGATAATTTCAATTGGCTAAGCGCCGAGCTGTGATAAATAACTCTTTGAGGACCATATTGCTCATTTGCAATAACATGCTAAAAAAATTTTTTGCTTAAAATTAGATACTTTCTCATTAACTCAGGACATTATTAATCTCACCTCAGTTTCTGGTCCAAACTTCTTCATCCATTCCTGATACCTCTGATCTTCCAACACATCATTACCAATCATATGTACTATAACCCGAGGTTGCAATTCCTTATTACTTGTCTGATATACAGCAAATTCAGGCGAATCGAAAACGGAGGAAATATACGAAATGGAAGGAATATCCACAATCATAAAAATCTAAATGTTTTAAAAAAAAATTTTAAATTAATCGAGAATACAAAGATTTATTAACACAAGCTATTATTTGATTCTTACCAAGCCCGGTCGTGATGGTCCAAGAACTTGATGAGGATGAACTGTAGTTCCGTTTGGCGCAACGACAGAATTTCCTTTCACTAATTCAGCTTTTGTACATAATCAAAAATATATTAGCGAAAATAAAGTTAACAAACGCAGGATTACAACTTTTATAAAAAATTTACAATATTGTCGTCCAGGGCTCAATCCTAAAGCTTTGGCGGCCAGTGGATCAAATTTTCCTTTGTAATCAGGTCCTTTACAAATGTAAGCTATAGAAGCTAAAGAAGGTTGAGATTTTGGCAACCTTTTTGGAAATAATTCCCTTCTACGATCACGTACTGAATCGTCATTATTTGAACTCCCCGCTGATTGAGGTTCATCAGGAATATGCATGGCAATATCAATATCTTCATCAATTCTAGATTTTTTCTTACTGAATGATCTAGGATCATCTGATCTTTGACTTTGATTGAACATCAATGATAAAATTTCCTTTTTGTATTTTAACGCCGAATCAATTTCATCGCTCTGCAAATCTGAATCTCTCTCACGTTTTGTACCAGTTTCAGGCTTTTGAGCGGAAGAACTAGTTGAATCAGTGTTCTTCAATTCTTCAGGATAGAGAAATACCGGAAGAACAGTCAAATTATCATCCGTAAATTTCATCCCTTCTTTTTGAAATTCATGTGTCCTTACTGACATTGTCGTTCTAATAATGATTCATCGAATGTTAACTAATTGTCAAATTTCGTGTAACAAAATAATTATAACATGATATATATTTAGTTTGCCTCAAAACGAAACTTCTGGTAGCCGTAAGAAAATGAGTCAAATTCTCTCCGCCAAGAATTTGTATCTCCTTTGACCCTGCGTCAGCCAATGTGAGAAGCATACCTAATTTTAATGGTGATGAATGAGAAAGAGAATATATATATATATTTTAATATCAACGCTGCTTTTATCATTCCTACATAAACAATATCATTAAATGATTAAGTACCTGGAAGACCTCCGACACATTCCCAATTTATTCTAGTAAGAAATATATTTTTCGTCTTTACAAGCCTTAATTTGTTTTGTAGACAAATTCTCTGTGTTCCTTCACCACAATTAAATAAATATTTTTGACTGCCCCTCTGACCATCATAATGAACAAACACCGAAGGAGGGACGTCATAAGTTCCACTTCCAAGGATTTGAATGTAGGATTTCATGAATAATGATGATGAATATGAAAAGTTTCTTCGATCACGTATATAGTTATTTAAGGGTCTGGACTTGAGGATAAGTCGCCCGAAAATAAAAGATTTGAAGAAATACAATTTGATTAGTCTGATTATAAATAATTTTTTTTTATTTTCTTAATTGACATCAATTATTTAAAAAAAATCATTCGGGAATTTTTCACATTAAATAAAATTAAATAATAATGGAGGTCGATCGATCAAAAAAAAAATTTTTTTTTTTTTTGCTTGATTTATATACGTATTCTCCGTTACACAACTCGTCTCGTCTCGTGACTATGATTAGATTCAAAATGTTCCATAAAATTTTTTTTTTTTTTTTTTAACTTAAAATAACTAAAGAAAAAAAT